CCCCCCCCCCCCCCCCCACCCAAACTCTGCCCCAAGAGACCCCAGCGCAAAACAACCTCGGTGGGGTTATCAAATCCACCCTCACATTATTCCAAGTCCGGCGCATGTTTTCTCGGTAATCTCTTGGTGCAGTCACTTTCTTCGTGCTTTACGAAGGGTTGTTCGCATCGGCAGATGGGTCCCCGGGAGCGCAGTATGCCAGGGATGAAGGGCTTGTCATCACTGACCCTATGTCCAGACCTGCTTCAGGGGTGTGCTCTTTCGTGTTCCGCCAGGGAGTCACAGGCACTGAGGGCGAATCTCCGGGCCCTGCTGGCGGCACTTCCGATTCGCAAAGAGGTCCTGAGCACGTCATGATCGGCCATGGCAAAGTCGGTAGCAGCTGCAAGCGCGAGTGATCTCATCCACGACTGGGCCGTATGAGTCAAAATCAGCATCCACAGACATGGAAGCTTTCGCCCTCTCGGCAGCTTCCAGTGCAATCCTTGCTTCTTGTCGAAGGTAACGTTTACCATCCAAGTGTCCAACCATTCGGGCAGGTGCCGGTGCCCCATCATCCAATAAATACCTGGCCGGCCATATGCTGCATTTCATGCCGAACAGAATCAAAGCTTCCCTATAGTGCATACAAACCCCAGCTCAAGGAGCACTGCTTGTTATCTGTCATGGTTCGTTCGTTGTGCTCGGCTTAACCTTTAGTGGAGGCATCTGGTCAGTACTAGAAACGAGACACCACCCTGCAAAAAAAAAAAAAACTGCAACATTCTTCGTGCAGAATGATCACGTTCCATATTGCTCGTGGCTACTCCAACCAATCGAGCGCAAGTCCATTCCCTGCTGCTGTCCCAATTTGTCTTCGATGAATCCTCCACGCGACACTAAATGACGTCTTCCAAACACGAACTCGCGATAATAAGCTGTGAATGCAAAATGACTCGAATCATGCCACATAATCATCGGGATGAAACGAAGGGAGGGGCATTCAGATGATGTGACCACCAGAGATTCGAAAGGTGGATGTAGGACTTTCATCTGCCCAAGCCTCGTCACAGCCTGGATCACGTAGCGGGGCGGATCGTTGGTGGTGGTCGGCAAACCCACCATCTTGAGACAAGGGTTCTGCAGCATCCCCTTTAACAGCGACAGCACATGTGGAAATCCGCGCATGAACGTCCTGTCATGCTGCATAACGAAAACGAAGGGTGTGCGGACAAGTTCCAATGCCGCACGTACAGCGAAACCAAAACCTTGCCGTTCTACCAAACGCAGCACTTCCACCGATTCCCACACCGGCGACGGTTTCGTCTTCGCGAATATCTCAAGGCTAGCCACATATTGCTCATATGCCTTGGCTCTCTCCTGCGTCACAATGCCACTCCGGAACTTGCTGTCATTGGCAAGCCTGTAACCATCGCAAACGACAATGTGGCGGCACTGCAGCAGCTCTGGCACAAATTCCTCAAGACTCTCCAAAGTTGAGCAAATCAGCTCAGTGGCTGGATTCGATGGAGTTGGAGAAGTCGTGGTAATTATGGTGCACAGTTCAGACAGCTCCATTCGCACACAGCTGTGGCACCTACACAATGAGCCTTGCTAGCCGACACACTACATACAGTACTTGCAGGCTGCAGCATGGACGACGTATCTGCATGGCCACCTGCATTTGCAGAGTCCCTTGCATCACATGACGTCTCCTGATGTTTAACAACACCGAACCAACAACTGACCCCATCCGCAGTGGAGGGTAAGGCAAAACGACATGTACATTAGCACCCGAAGAAGCCTCTTGAAGGCAGAATCGGGACGGCAAAATGATGAGGTTTGAGTACTTGCAGGGCTGAATGCCTGCTCTTGTTAAGATATTGTACACAATCCGACATTTACCAGTGTTGGCCAACGACCTGCGCACCTACAAATTCTGTGTACAACGACTTATATACTCAGAATATGCCTTGGGCAAATGTCTCGGGATCGTTCCCACTGCAAAAGATCGTTATCCACATCGGCGGCAAGCGCTCAAAAGTGCTTCAGTTCTGCTCAGCAGGCCTTGCACGGAGCGCAACAAAACACCACAGGCACGACGCAGAAGATCACCAGGTGCAGCAGAGGGGCAGGTTCGACATCAAGTCCTACCTGAGACCGACCCTAAACCCAAACTCACAGAAGTCAAATCTCCACCTCGCACTCCTTGCCTGAAGTCGCAGGCAGTCCACCTCATCCTTGTAGGTACTCGGGCCTGACACTGAAACATGACCTTACCAACGCTAGTCATTGCTGGCTATTATGGACAATCTTGACAATCTTGTACACATAACTTCCACGAAATCCTGAGACTCTCGGCGCTTCTTCCTGCGAGCATGCGACCTGCATATTAGGAAATATGACCGGGTTTGGCCGCTTACGCAACTGACAATCAACACAACGTCATTTCAGGCAGCTGCCGCCGAAGGCGTTGGTGTATGTACAATTTCCCGGCGTCAGGTCCTGTCACAACATGCTGCAACATGCTAGTGCTAGAATTCGAAGAAGCAGAGCACATGTCGAAGAAATCTCCTTCATAGCACATTCGTGCGAATGGCCAATCGAGATCATGATCGTCAAGGGGACCTCTATTTCTTGGTGGAACAGCTATGACAAGAACATTCTCTACACGACCATGGCAAGGCAACGATTGAGGTGTGCGCCAGGTGTTGTTGATAATGCATCCGGGTCAGAGGAGCATACGCTGCCCGCTGTCATCACGAGGTGCTTGTTGCCTGACAGGTCACCATGCGAGCTGGTCAAGATCTTGTGAGCTGTGCTTGACAAGCGTGAAGAGCAGACCGAAGGGATGTCCGGAGATGGCATCTCTCAGAAGCACCTGCATCAAGCCAGATTAAGGCTTTGAGGAAATAACAGCGAAAGTCCTTGTCAGCTTGAACCTCTTCTGGCAGCCTCGAGTCAAGACTGAGGAGATGGAGGACTTGCAGCGCTGACTATAGGCCCGCCACTCGGAATCTTTTCTTCCCGGCTCTTGAGTTGGAGGTGCCAACTCCAGCTTGTCGTCCCGCGCGGTGCATCTGTGTCCAAACGTGGGCACCAACAAAGACGAGTCAGCGAAATTGTCAGCTGCCTCGGCTTTCCTCCTTCAGCAGCAACACCTTGAGATCACGGGATGTGATTGATAATGCGATGCAGGCCATTACCTCGGATGCCGCAAAGTTGCAAGTGGATGCTGTGCTGGCAGCGGCTTCATCTGCAAGATTGTCCTCGCGGAGCACCAGGATGCGACTCACTGCACAACGCAAGACGACAACACACAGCCGAAGTCTCCTCGAATGATGGGTTCGGGCCTGCGACGGCAGAACCACAGCCTACTGGAAGACATGCTGCATTCTTGCAGCGTCTACTCTAGAGCGCATGATAGGAGATGGCTTCGGTTTCCCTCGCGGACCGACATTCAAATCCAACAAGCGAGACAAGACCGACGGCAGCACTGCACACGACCGCGTCATGCTTCGCTTTGGCTTCGAGATCGCCGCTGTGGGTCTTGGGCCAAGGGTGGCGTCGAAGGTAAACATGCACTGGCGCACGTGCATCTGAAATCCTTGAAGCATCCATGCTCCCATGAAAGCCAGTACCAGGCTATGCTTACGACCATGGTCAAAGAAAGCAACACCACTTCAGTAGCACAGCAGGAAGAAAAAGATTGGGTGTGGAATTTCTGCATGCCGTCCAGTGTGCGCAATTCTCAATGCTCGCATTACATCAAGTGGCACACCGAGCCTGGCAGATCCTCTTGGCATGCAACCTGTGCGATGTGCGAAAGGCAGCTCGCAACCGCAGTGGTCGGCCTGCCTCCACGATTGAAGGGCCCACGTCATGTTCACCAAAAGCATCATGCCTGGCGCAAAATTCATTTGCAAGACTTTGAGAGACCCTTCGCGAGTCCCTGAAGGTGCCTGGGGCACCGGTCCTCCTCAAGACCTCATTCCGGTCACCAAGTGTGGTCGGATCTCGACATGCAGGTGCAGAATGAGCCCCGCACCGGACTTTGGTGGGACAACAGCGACTGAAAGTTCGACATGGGCCTAGAGTCCAGGAACGAAGTGTGTCACGGCCTCTCACATGCAAAATCTGTTCAAGCAGATTTGTTTGAGGCGTCTGCTTCATCGTCTGCTGCAACTGAGCAGGGACACAAAAAACTGCGAGGCAGCGATCTTAGTGACAATTGTCCAGAACCCAGGAACCTGCCTTGCGATTGTTGCATCATCGAAACATGCGAAGAGGTCTCGTTGCCTCATTGCACGACGGTCGACTCGGTAGTGCCACTGTGCAGCTGTATGCGTGCGTTGGTTGAAATGAGTGCAGGGAGGTGTGAGCCGCCAGCCACTGCAGGGAACGCCGGGCTCGACTTTTGCATGCCTGCTTGTGTTTCTCTGAAAACCGAAGTCTCTCGCAAGGACTTGATTGTACAACATATTGCGCCTGGATTCTTCCGCACCTTCTCGTGGTGCCCTTGCATCCTGGCGCACCTGTCACAGGATTATCAGTCGCTTCTTGAGCCCGCTACCCGTCGGGTTCAAGCCAACGTCAAGTTGGTGCAACTTGTATTCCTAGGTGAACATGCAAGATATTTTCAGGGATGCCACATCGTAGATGGCATCAACAAGCTTAGTACAGTGTGGAGATGTCGTGTGCCTCGGAAGTCCATGGCAATTCGCGCCAGGCTTCCTGCATATCCAGCAGAAACTACCACTCTTATACCTCCTTGTCCTAGCGGATTTGCTTCAGATAATCCTGTGCCAGAGCCGAGAGCGAGACAGAGAGAGAGAGAGAGAGAGAGAAAGAAAAAAAATTGTAGATGTAGATAGAGATGTTCCGCCTGCTTTTCAGTCGCAGTGCTTGGAACAGTCGAAACCCGTTCCTCCCAGAGGCAGCTAGAAAGGGAAGACACGCTGTGACCGTCACCGGCTGCGCACGTCCTCGTGATCTGCGAATGGAGCTGGCATCAGAATGTCCTCCAGAACCTCCGTCTCATCAGCAACCTGCTCGCGCGGCTCAAACTAACTTCAGCAAATCTCAGATCAAGGAGTAGCCTCGGTGTGTGTGCGCGTGCATGTCGGATAGGAAGACCTTAGACTCACAGCTGGTGACGGTCCAGCGTTTGGTCAGAAACTTCAGCAGCCGACTGCGACAAAGACTGCGTCACTTTCGGGACCTCACCAGCCACAGCGCAGACATTCGTGGAATTGTTAGCATAGGCATATATCGGAGACACGGCAAGGTCCAGCGATCCGAGAGAGAGACATCAAACCGCACAGGGCTTTGGTCGTGTCCATTAGATTCCTGAGAAGTAGGCACGGTCGCAGGCTCTATCGATCAAAGCAGCGGATCATGGCATGTCTTAGGAAAAGTCTGACACGCTTGACGGAGACAATGGACTACATGGTGTCGCTGACGATGGTGCGCTGCCTGGCAGCGCTGCGAAGTGCCATGATCCATGACAGAGCCCATGCGCCTCGACCCCTGACCGGAGTGCAGGGACTATACGGAGAAGTCCACTCCTGCCACAACGACATGCGGAGGCCAGCATTTTAGAATGTTCAAGCATGTGCCTTCTTGATCTGCGGCGATGACTCCGTGGAGCCTCCGACTGCAGTAGCATCGTGTGCCATTGACGCATGAATCTTGCAAGCTGCTAAGTTGCCTGAAACCAACCTCCCACGCTCGACATTCATAACTTCAGCAGACCTGGCGTGACGATACAACCAACAAGTCTGCACAGGCTGCAGATTCTCGGAGCATCAGAGCTTGCTATATTTTCTGATCGAACCCGAGCCAGGACAGCGCTGGACGGGGTATTGGAGATGAATCAACCTGCATGCAGAAAGACATCATGCTGCACTCTGCCGTCGACTTTGAATATTCTAGCTGCATTAAGTCGTGTGGTGCCTCTGCAGCCTTTGCCCGGCAGGGATCTGGCGGAGCCTTAATGCTTGGAGGGTCGTATCTTTTGTGAAGCTAAACTCTGCATGTGCCCACAAGGTCATGAGTGCATCCATCTCCAACTGATCACAGGCATGATTGGGCAAAAAGTTGAGCTCTCCGCCGACGCGCCCCTTGCAGATGCTCTCTGTTCCGCAGGGGCCATCGGTGGGGTCGGCAGCGAAGACTTGGAGACCTCCGACTGCGCTGGACTGCTCTGCATTGCGTCTCTGTCGGAGCTGTCCTCTTTCAGGCCTCTTGGCGAGCTCCCGCTTCGGACCCCGAGTTCGGAGTGCAAGTCTCCGCGGGCTTGATCTCCAATCTGAGCAGACATGGACCCAGGCATGGCCCAAGGAACTGCCCAAGGAATTCGCATCGTCTCAAGAGCCATCTCGCCTCACATCGCAGCTGCTTGCACACTCGCCGGCGACGTAAGCGTCGCCTTCGTGAACATGCTGTCCTGCAATCATGTCACTCTGAGCTGCGAGGACGTGCGGGAATGCTACAATTGCACCTGCATCCGGCTTGTCCATAGCCTCCACATCACCGATCTTGTACTCGTCCTGCTTCACACTCCAGGTGCAGTATGAAGAAGTGGCCTGCGGGTCACGGCCACGTCCTTGGCCTGATCAGGGGAACCGGGACCCGAAACTGGCGGTGTGGCACCTGAGCACAGCCAAAGAGTGGCTGATGTCATGTCAGGGTCTGGGAGGCATGCTCAGTCCTTCACTCTCTGCTTGTGCCCACAGCGACAGCGGCATGAACCGTCCACTGAACACCGAATTCCTGCGGTCCGTCCCTCCTGCAGATGCAAGCAGAAGCGGAACGTGTGATAGGGCGATAGGGCGATAGGGCCTGCAGGGCCTGCAAACTCGTCTGTGAGACTCTTCACTGCGGTCCTGACACCTCCGGGCTCACCAAGGTCGCCAACGCAGCTCCTGAGACTTGCGCCGGTGCTTTCCCGACGCCACTGCCGTTGTGTGACTCCTCCTGTTGCTGTGGACACTCGGCTTGCAACAGCCATGGCTTGTCGCGCTCCCGCCGCGGCACCTCGGAGGACAAGCCCAGCAGCAACTGGAGTCCTGCAATTCAGAAGGGGACGGACGCGCTGCGGCTGCCGCAGCTCCAGCAATCCTCAACAGAAGTTCCATAGAAGCAGAGGCATATCTCTGTGTCGAGGTCCCGGTCCCGCCTGCTCCTTGACGGACCGGGGCTTGCAGCCGTGACAGGCGTGATTGGCGTGATAGGCGTGACGGGCGCGGGCAAAGGCGTCACCGCCAGCGGTGTGGCGGGAGCAGCCGGAGGTGATGGCAATGGGGTGACGTCCTGCCACGGGAGACAAAAAGATAAAGTGAGTTGCTTACAGGGAAATCGACACCTGATAGGTCGGCGAGGAGCCATCATGGACAGGATCTGGATCCTGCAGCCAAATGCAGAGCAAGGCTGAGCAGGGCAAAACGGCCGGTTCAAAGTCCAAAGACATCTAAAGATGTCATAAGATGTCCGAAGGTCCTTCACGACTCTCATCTTGGATGGGGGCCAAGACGCCACCTGATGCAGGCGGGCGGTGTGGGGACCAAGCTTCGAAGTCAGGTCCTCTAGGTACCCGCCTCCAGAGCAGCTAGCGCCTCTTCATCACCCTGGATAAGATGCCTCCGACTGATGCTGCACTCGCTCGCTGTGCACTCGTTAAAACGACCCTCTGCCTGCAGCGAGGGTCCGGAAGAGAGTCCTCGACACAGTGCTTCTCTGGAGGTGAGCACCTGGTCGCTCATCTCAGCGAATCTCAGCGATGCTCCGGCTGCCCAAAATGACGCGAAAAACAGGAGCTCTTCACCGTACATGAATCCGGGAGTCCCATCATGTTCTTGACTTGTCGTTCGCCGGGCCGATTAAGTGATTAGAGTGGCGAGTCCTCTTGGGCTGGTTGCCTGAACATGTTGTCAAGCACATTTGGGATCCGAGGCTTACTTGGGCAATCTGGGCGAAGGGGATGGCTGAAGCTAGGAAAAGCACCACCTTGTGCAGAGACCTGTCTGTTTCACATCAATGCCGCCCGCGCGCACAGCTTACCCAGCTTACCAGCATGGCAGGGCCTCTTCGTGGTGGGATGCAGTCTCGTGTCGTCGTCCTGCGCACTCTAGCTCAGTTGACTCTTTTATCCTGTCTGGCAAGTACCGAGACCGAGCCTGAGCTCTCTCCTCCACTGGGATCACGACATCCTGCAGAGAAGACACTACTTACGGTACAGCTGCACTTGTTGGGGGGTCCTTCTCACAATCCGACTCGTGGGCCGTACCTGGCAACAGGGCGCCAGGCTGAGCCAGGCCATGGCAAACCCCTCCTCGGGCCCGGGCCGCTCTCACGTGGCATCTCCTGAAAAAGGGCGGTGCATTCCGCTGAGCGAAGTCGGAGTGAAGCCACGCCTCGGGTGGAGGCAGTGGCCCAGCACCCGCCGCTGGCCGGTTCCGGCTTGGGCTCTCCTGGCTTGTTCTACGCAGCCACGGATTCTTTCGCTCACTGTTTTGCGGCACTTTTCAAGCCCCGCCTCGGGAGGGACGTTGGACTCCCGGGTGTCGACGCCGAGGATCTGAAGCTCCTGAAGCTCAGGGCCAGTGCCACACTCTTTGTGCTTTGCGACAGTCGGACAGGCCTCTCCGTCGACCATGAAGACGAGGTGCTTCTGCTTCGCTTTGGGTGACGGGATCGACTGAATGGTTGAAATCGTCACCGGGGAGATCAAAGCGCCGGAGCCTTGCTCTTCCACTTCCAGCAGTGGTCTGAGAGGCTCCGATTTCATGCGCAGGCTGGAGGGCTTGCTTGCTGACCCTCTGTTCGCTTTCGGCTGTGATAGCTCAGGGCTTTGTGAGCTGTCACTCAGAGGTTCCTTTGATGCCGTCCTTGGAGACTCGTCGCTTTGGACGGGCAGGGAAGTCGTCCTCTCCGGATTTGACTCAGCGGGCACCTGGCACAGGAGTGTCCCCGGTCTCCCCGGTCACGCACAGATCAATGTCTTATCAGCCTCGGGCTCTGCAGAGGCCTGACAATGATGCAGGCACGGCTGCGACTGCAGAAGAGTGATGTCTGCCGGACTTCCAGTGACAAAGAAGGCCTCTGCCCGCGGTGTTCGCAGGCTCGCGACACTGTTGCCTGGCCACGATGTTGCCAAGCCAAGTCAGCCAATGCTATGCAGAGCGGATCCCTGCGAGGGTCTTGGGCACTAACAAGCCAGCACGCCTTCGTCCATCCTTGCATACTTCATAGATTTCCGGAAAGGATGTTCAATGGCGACAGGCTTAGGCACGATCCTTGATACTGGCGACGGGCTTGCCTCCATGACCTGCGATTTCCAACAGCGGCATCAAAACGAGATCATCTGTCGATGGCTTCCCGAGTTGAAAGCAGTTGCTTCAGCTGCTTCTTCTGACACCGATGCCGTGTGCTCGGTCGCCTGCCAGCTCGATTGCAAAGCGACCCCGTTGCTGAACAACTCATGGGTCATGGGTCTGTGCAGCGACGTCTCCACGTGTCTTGCCTTACCCAGCTCTTGTGAATGTCTAATCCCTGGAGGTGCTTGAGGGGAAATAAAGTGCCGGTTTTGTTTGTTTTGTGAAGCTCCTTGACCTTGCATCCATGCATCCTTGCAGAAAGCAGAAAGGTTGTGCACAATCACTGAGACTTGGAGCGAAAATCTCGTTGCACAAGTGTGTGCTTGCCGTGCGGCAATTTTGTCGCTGGTCTGTCCTGCTGTCCCACTGGATTGCGCAATCTTGCAGGCCAAACTTTAAAGAAAGGCGCTTGCGTGTTTGCTGCTCGTATTGATCCGTAGCTGGAACGAGTATCGACAACTCTATCTCTGATCACTCATACTAGCAGCGACTGACAGTGCCTGCCCCTGTACAAAGGTAGACGGTGACTCGGGCTCCTCGCCATCGTCTGCGGACACCTGGCACATCACAACAATACAACAGTAAACAGGGTTCCCACTTGAACCAGCCTGCACTCTCTACTGAACGAAAACGGGCCCCTGTAGTGCGGGACCACGCCATGCAACAGGCCCACCAACTGGGCCTCGACGGACTGAAATCGATGCAGCCTGGAAGAGACAGGTGGAGAGTCAGAGATTCACAGAAGAGAACATGACCGGAGGAACGGAGGGACATGGAGACATCTAGCAAAGTGGACACTCGGACTATTTTGGACGCTCTTAGCCCCGGACATCCCAGACTCCGACCGAGAGGGCGATTGACTCGGAAACGACTGCACCTCATCCCACGAGCCGATCGGAGAAGATGCAGTGAAGATGAAGTGAAAGCACGACATTGCTTTGAATCCAGCCGTCACCTCCCGCGGAAGCACACCCTCCTGCAGTACAGACAATGCAGGTGAATGTTCAGTAAATCTGCAGCAGTATGATTCAGTATGATCCAGCTACGGCGTGAGCTAAGCTCGGACCTCCGCGCGAACGGATGCGCTTGTGGCAGCCTGCAAACAGCAATAACAGTTCCAGAAAAGGTTGTTTGGCTACAGCAGTGCAGGCGGCGAAGACACCTCATATGCAGCCAACTTGCGATAATCTTGTAGGAACCTGTGGAATTGCATTGGACAGCGTGCAGCACACGGTGTCCCCCAAAGCATAAGCCGGCCTGTCTACCAGATCTGATTGACATTCATGTCGAAGAAATTCTTCTGGATTGAATTGTGGCTGAGGTAGCAAACTTAGACAACGAAAGATGGGCAGGGACAGCCTGCGCATGTCGCTGGAGCACTCACGTCTCCAAGGCTGCGGCTCGTCCCCGCCAACAGCAGAAGCAGTGGAGGGTGCGCTGCAAAAGCTGTTCGAAGTGGTGAAAAATCCTGGGCCAGGAAGACATATACTATGCTGAGCAAGCAAAGTGACTAATACGCGCAAAAGGCCGACTGCTCCTCGACTCTTGCCATGCGGCCGCGGCGAAGGTCCTTTGACTCAACTTGAACCACACGAAAGTTGGCTTGGTCAGGAACTACCAGCTGCTCCTGGGCTTGCATGGCTTGCCGTCTCCTCCTCACCTTCGGAAGCGAGCAGCAAATGGACAATTGCAGCAGGATCACTGTGGGCACATTGCCTGTCTGTTGAAAACGTCGAGGGCAACAGCGCCACTTGGCAGAAGCCTTCACAGGATCGATCTGCAGAACACGGAACATCACGTTTCGAAGTAGCTCACACCTCTGTGTTGTCGGCCGGCGCTTCTTCATCTGCGGGCACAGAACCACAAGGCCACCAAAGCCTTTTCAGGTCCGAATAGACGGACCTCATCTTTGCAATGTACACTGTCCGGTCTGCAGCAACAGCCAAAACGGATGATTCAGGACCGAGCCGAAACGATTGGAATCTCCACTTCTGCGAACCAGCCGAAGATCCTGCACCAATCCATGAACAGATCAAGGTAGCTAGCGCATCAATCTGTGCCAAATCTGCATTGCCTGCAGCATCATCATGAACCATGGGCAAAGCCTTTCATCCCATTGCACATGGCATCCCTGCAACTCTCTTGTGGCCGACGACTGTGCTGCATGTAGTACGAGGAATACAAACATGAAGCTTCAGGACGGCGGCTTTGCTACGGTTACGCAAAGGTCCTTCAAACTTCTCCGCAATTTCACGGGAACGAATCCCGCTAGAAAGCCAAAGTGTCAGGTACCGGCCGGGGCGTTCGTAGGCGTTCATCAACATTGAACCATAACCAAATTTCAACAAAAAACCATGTGCAACAAACAATGAATGAAGCTGAGAAACCTGCTTCACAAAAATATTGGTTGAGACATGCCGATGAAATGTCGCACAAACACAAAAACCAAACTCATTTCCAAGTCCACAAAACACACAAACCAAATCAAGATATATATATATATATATATAAATGTCAGACGAGTTGATTAATATAATGTGAATGGAGTCGCAGGAATGCCCATGATTGAATGCGGGCACCCGCTCGGTTCTAGTTAGGCTTGCATTGCTCTGGCACTCTCAAGGCATTCTTTTGTTACCGTGTTGGATGTGTGGGCTTTGCGGCTAACCCGGGGGTGCCCTGAACCCTCGAAGGCAGAAGTTTTCCCCGTGCTGGCTCTTCTGCGGTGCTCCCAGCTGGCTGCATGCATGTATAGCGTTTTTTACAGTGTGCAAACCCGTTAAGGTTTTTGAAGCATTGGTTTCCCGCCCCATTAAATGCTCGTTTGTGTCCCGTCGTGCGGTCCGCGCAGCTTTTGATCACAGGCAGCATTGTGTTGCCTCTGACGTGCTTCCCCATCTTTGGTGGGTTTGGATTGCCAGTCGGCTTGGGTCCCTTCTCCTCAGTGGGCGAGCAGACAACCCTCACATCCTTTGCGCTCGTTATGCCTTTGCTGAGCATTGCGCAGAGCCCGGACGTGGGACAGGCCAAGCTCGTCCCTTCGCTGTTGGTTGCTGTAAGCAGGACCTGCGCAGGTTCGCGGCTGTGCGAATACCGGGTTATCCGAGGTTATCAACGCTCGGATCCGCAGGTGCCACCACTTGCCTGCACAGCTGAGCATTTGCATGTCTCTCTCAGGCCGGCCGAGCGCTTGCCTGCGCAGGTGAGCCTTTCGTTGGGCCTGTGCTGATTTCCGCTTTCGGGTTTAAGGTTTAGGGGTTAGGGTTTAGGGATTAGGGATTAGGGTTTAGGGTTGAGGTTTAGGGTTTAGAGTTTAGGGTTTAAGGTTTAGGGTTGAGGTTTATAGAAATTGTTAAGGGTTTGGGTGCCAATATAACGTTTTGACCGAAACGTTTTGACCGAAAGTTTTGACCGAAACGTTTTGACCGAAAGTTTTTTTTGGAACCACATTTTGAATCTGGGGCACCCAGGGCTGGATTGGGCTGGGTGGAGGGGCTGGGCTGGCCTGGGCTGGGCGGGCTGGGGCTGGGATTGGGACTGGGCTGGAGCTGGGGTTGGGTTGGGCTGTGGGGTTGGGGTTGGTGGGTTGAGGGGCTGGGCGGGGGGGCTGGGGCGGGGCTGGGGATGGGGCCAGCTGGAGCTGGGGCTGGGCTGGCTGGGGGTGGGTTGGGGGGGCCTTCTTGGCCTGGGCCTCTGGCTGGGCACTTTGAATCTGGGCTGGGTGCTGGGCTGGATTGGGCTGGGTGGAGCTGGGCTGGCCTGGGCTGGGCTGGGGCTGCCGGGCTGGGCCTGGGGCCAGCTGTTGGCTGGGCTGGGCTCGGCGGGCTGGGCTGGGGCAGCCCTGAAACTGAAATTGGTTTATTCGAAACTGACAACATTGTGTCCCGACCGCAAACATGAGCTTTCGAATGGCCAACAGCAACAAGCAACTTCGATTTATTTCTTTCTTGGGGGTTTAGGGTTTAGGAGTCAGGGATAGGGCTTTTTCAGGGGCTTCTAGTGCTTCAAACCCTTCCTC